CCATGGTGAGGATGGCGGGGTCCAGGCTGTTTCCTTCTGTGGTACTCTGCTCAGGGTCGCTGTGAGCTGGAGCCCACTCACAGCACCCAACAGGTCAGTGTCGGGTTTCTGCAAGGTGGCAGTGGGTTCTGGATTTTTTTCAGTGCCACGACCATGTTCAGCCACATGGATTCTCCCACAGAAGCAGAGGCAGTCAGGATTATAGTGATACATTTCTATTGTAATCAAACTTTAAAGGATTAAAAAAAAATTTTTTTAATTCACCTGCATGGTACAATGTGATGTATGCTGTGGGGGGTTTGGGATTTTCTTTAAAGCCAGATTTCATCCCATTTATTTTAGCCCTTGGACTACGGAAGTCGCTGTTGTTTACCCTTTTTGACACCCCTACATTCTTACTGAGTTCTTAGGAAATACCGTTGCTAGAATTCAAATGGACGAGAGCATGTCCTCGCATGACCCACAAGGCTTGAGCTGTATTTTCCCTGGAAACCAGCTCTTAAGAACAAAACCGTTACCCACACACGTTCTCTATGGTCACATTGAACGCACTGCTGCAGTGCAATGTAATTTACCATCCGAGTAAATGGGAACACCTGGCCGACATCCAGGGCCAGGCGTGCTGGCCGGGCAGGCAGCCTGGCAGAGAGCCCCGAGCACCATGACCAGTCCACGAGGAGCGTGGCCACTTCTGTGGACATGAGCGGCAGAGGTCATCCTTCATACCAACTCCAGAGTGCTGTGGGAAACCTGGCAACGGTGAAAGCTAGCCCAAAGGGCAATAAACCACTTCCCTCACACCGTGATTCAGTAAGACACTACCTGGAGAGCAGTAAGTAGGTGTCCAAAACGATCGTTTCCCATCCTCCCCCAAGCAGTGCTGGCACTGGGGCCCAGGTAGAGCCCTGAAAGCAGCCGAGCACCAGGACCCATCCACAAAGAGCGAGGCCGCTTGTGTCTGGACCTGAGTGGCAGGGATCGTGCCTCCAAGGTAACCCGTCCCTTCTCTGGGAACAGTCTCTCTCACCTTGCTCAGAACTGACACTAGCCGCCCTGCGGGAGGCCGCGCTTAGTTCACAGCCACCCAGGCAGAGAGGAGTGCTCCCCATGCATGCTGTAACTCTTCCAAATGTCCCCAAATGGTGTGTGCAAGTATCCCCCTGCAGAGCATGTTAAAATGTGCAGTCCTGGGCCCCACCCTACAGACTTCAAGATGAAGTCAGACCTAACACTTGTTATCTTTGGGATCTTGAAATGTTTCCCATTGTCATGTTGGCATCAATGCACGTGTTCCTATTTGGGGTTAAGTTTTGACTTAAGAGTTTCAGGAAATGGCCTCATTTCTGAATGTCCTTTACTTCCTTAGATCTTTATTATGAAACATTTTATCGTATGCAGATCATAAAGCTTCTAACAGATGCACGTGTTCGTTTCCCATTCCCTTAATACAAAACAACAAAAAATTTTTAATTCAATTGGTCTTTTCATCAGACATTTCACCAAGTACAGGATTCAGCGTGTCAGCATTATTAGACCAGCCGTTCAAGTGGGACCACACAGGCCGATCCTCTCCTTGCTGGGCCAACACCCACCCATCCACCCACCCAAAGACAAAGGTGGCCAGCAGATGCCTCCCAGTGTAGGCTACCAGCTCTGGGTCTTTGACACAAGCCAGTCCTGGTCCAACTGCTAGTCTACGTCCATAAACCGGAGAAGACTAGTGTGCAGCTGTAATGTCACCAAAAGGCAAGTTCCTCTCGACAGACGCGTCTTTCAAGGGGGCCACACCTCACAGCCACACTGCTTTCACTGGAGGAGCAGAGCCCAGGTGAGAGAGCGACACAAGCCCCAGGAGCCAGAGCATCAGGTGGCCTTTCTTTGTGGCAAAAATCATCATTACTGCTATTTTCACTCTGGCAAGTGTCAAGACAAAGGTGAAAATAAACACACACTCAGGTCTCCTTAGAAGGGCAGGCGGCAGGCGCAAAGTCCACGGTAATGAAAGAGAATGTGAGAGACTGGCTTCCTAGCTCTTTCGCTTCTCAAAGAGCAGGAGACAACTTCTGCAGGCTCCTAGCTTAGGGCGTCACTTGGTGTTCAGCTCTCATTGTCAGAGTCGTTTTGTAAATTTTTAATCCCCTTTGCCAAAGTCCTACTGCCTGCCGCCTCAATGAGCCTCTTACTGAAACCCCTGTGGACACTGTCAACGCTTTTAAAAACCAGTACAGTCTCATCTGTCTATGGGTTCACATCGCCCGTGTGGTTGACCAGCAAGCGTCGGCCTTGCCCTCAGAAGGGACTTGCTCCGAGGTTTCGGGCCGGCTGTTGACTGACGGGCCACAGCAGGACAGGCACTCCTGCCCCTGTGGGATGCTGGCAAATATCCGTTCTTGAGTGGGAGGAAAACTTCAGAGATTTTGTCCCAGCCTCGGGTTACAGCCCACTGTGATAAGTGCCAGAGAGATCTGCCGGAGGCTCACTCCTTCTCAGAAGCAGAGCCACTTTAGACATAAAGCCGCAGGTGCTTCGGGTGAACGAATGAGCCTGCCTGCCTGAGACGGTCTTGAATGGTGTGACGTGTACATCTACTTTTAAGGACTGCAAGACACTGACATTTAAAAAGCCTATCTCCACCTGTGGGAAGCACTGTGACATCCCTAGTGTATCTGTGGCGCCCCATTCCCTTCCCCGTAAAATGGTCCTCACCTGTTTGGGGGTTGCTTTGTCTGTCTGTCTTCGTTAGCCATCTGCACCAGCCTGAGGACACACGGGGCTCTGTCCTGGGTGCCTGAGGAAGTTCTTATTAGGGTCTTAAAAACAACTTGTTAGATAGCTGTGGTTAGTATTACTGAGACTCTGTGAGCGTAGCTTCTGGCCACTGCAGAGCCGGTCCCTCAGCTGTGCCGACAGTGCAGCATGACCAGGAATGAAGTGGACAGGTTGATTTTTTTTCTTTTTTTTTAACTCCCAAGAGTCAGCCTTCTCTGCAGACAGCAAGAAATGCCTTTACTCCACCACTCCTGAGATTCTTGTCTTAAAAGGGAAAACGAACTTCACGACCTTTCGAAGAATCCAGCACAGGGACGCTGGGTGACACTCAGGGAATGGAGAAACGCGCTTCCCTTCCGTAAGGCATCGATTATAAATGAGAGGGATGTGTGCGTGTCTAACATGAGATGGTAAGCACTCAGAACCCTAACGCCATTCATCTTTTAACTCTCCCTCATCCCTATCTCGTGCAGCCAGCTTAAATAAGAAAAGGAGGCCTCTTGGCCTTGTCAACTACAATGATAAAAAACTAAGACATCTGAAACTATTAGGCACATCAAAGGTAGAGTTTATGTAGTTCAAGGTTCCCTTCTGAGGGGCCAATGAGTTTCCTGGCACGTCATACACATGGAAACATAGAGACCATCCTCTCTAAACTGCAGCGTTCACATTTCTTGTCAGACAAAGACCGACAGTGAATATGCAGACACACCCTCTCCTCCTCTGACCACTGCGCAGTGTAACGTTTTACCAGGTACAAAGCTGGGGCTGGAGTCTGAGCAAGCCTTCCCATACTGTGCTAGATCAGTCGCTCCAGTTTGGACAAAGCCGGGCAGCGGTGGCAATGGTACTTTCAGAGAGAGTAAGTGTCCAAAACAGGTGACTGGGCTGCAGTCCGTACTTGGCACCGTCCTGCTGGGGGAGCACCGTGCCCCCAGGGTTAGTCCGACTTGTCTTTCTTCTTTCCTGTTAGGGGCACTTTGTTGACCACAGCAGACCCAACAGCTGTAACTCCTCCGGCCACTGCAGACACGCCCCCTTTCACCAGCCCTATGCCCATGGAAGGTACAGTTGTGACGGCGGTCTTGGTCACCTCCAGACTCTTCCCACCAATCCAGGCCACACCCCCGATGGTGGCACCAACGGCTCCCTTTGTAACACTGAAGATGCCCCCAGTCACACGGGACAACATGCCCGGCTGCTGCTGTGGGTGATCTTTCATTGAACCTAGTGAGAGAACATAGGAGATGGTCATATGTCAGTCTCTGAAAGAGGACCACAAACCTAGTCCAAATAAGCCAGAGGGCACTGCCAGTTGCTAAGTGACCTGACTTCCTAACAGGTGGGAGGCTGATTTGATAAGGTCAATCATAGAAATACAAATAGAGTGTGTCTCTCAAGATGTATTTCACAATTCATAGATGTGCACATGCCTTTAAAATATCTTAATATGGGCCAGAAGAAATGCTTTAGAGATAACTGTCATGGAACAGAAAGCTATTTTAAATGTTTCTCTTAGGTACACTTCTCTTTTTCCTGACAGTTATTGGCAAGTAATTTACATATCATATATTTCAGTTATTCAATCACATCAAGGAGAATTGTACAATCATCCCCACATCAATCAATTTTTTTAGAATACACCCCCTCCTGTGATGAAATTGCCCCCAAGATGAGTTATGCAATCACCATTCACTCTAGATCTTCCTCCCCCGCCTTCCCATCCCTACCATTTACTCCTGAGCTCCTCTCACCCTCCCCATCATCCACCCCCCACCCCTGTATTCCTTATAGCCCCTTGTACCAGTTATTCTCATTATGCAGCATGTACAGTTTTATAGCTGCTCATCAACCATCTTGTACATTGTAGCCTAAAAGGCGAATGAGCCACCCGGACAACTATTATCAGGAGAACAGGAAATGAGGAGGGCCGCAAGGCTGGGGAGGAACTAGAGCCCGCACCCACTGCTGGCGGGCGGGATTGCAAAGTAATGCCACCACCGTGGGAAAATAGAGAGTTAGGTGGTCCTTCCGAAAGTTAACACACAGAAGTGCCACTGTGATCCAGCCAACACCACTCCCGCACGTGAAGCCCAAAGACCAGAAAGCAGGTACTCGGGCAGATACTTCCACACCAGTACTCACGGGGCACTGCTCACAGGAGCCAGAAGTAGAGACCGTGGGTCCAGAAATCCGTTAGTGCACTCAAGACAGTCACAGTGGAGCCGGGGTGGCATAGGGGGTGACACACTGGGCTGCTAACCATTAAGTCAGAAGTTCAAAACCACATGAGGCTTTCTACTCCCGTAAAGTTAAGTCTCGGAATCCCACAGAGGGGGTTCTGTCTTATAGGGCTGCTATACGTCAGAAATGACTCGATGGCAGTGAGTGAGTTTTGAACCCGAGAAATGCAACTTTCATACATGCTACCACATGAATGAGCCTTGAAAGCATGACGCCGACTGAAGTAAGTGACACAGGACAGTACTGGATGATCCAACTAAAGTGGACAGCTATACCACGTGGTTGTACACAGCCCCAATGTGGCTAAAATGCATTGCAGCACCGTGTGCGCGCACTGTAGGTGACACCCAACCAGAGATGCCTGCTTTCTTTCTTGGTAACTGTATGTTTCCAGTAAGTGAACTACAAGCAAACAATTCCATTGGTCAAGGAG